AGTTGTATTTTACAGCAGTAGTTATATTACCAAAAAATTTTAACATTTTGTTAAAAATATTAGGACAGTAACTATTTTTCAAGTTTTTTTGTCGACTGCAATTATTTGTATAGTTATTATCACAGATAATTTGTTAATACAATTCACTGTACATTGATTAACATTTGTTTATTAAAATGTTGATAATTAGACAATAATTTGCCGTTGGACAGGATGACAAATAAGGTGACAAGTGCTTGTTTCTTTTACTGATCTCTAAAAGACGTCGGACGGAGATGAGCCGACTGTAGTCGTTAGATGTATATATCATTTCGGAATGCACTGTTTCCTTGTCTTCTTTCTTTTTTTTTTTTTTCTACGAACTATTCTAATTTGCAGCAAAATTTATTGTTATTATTTTTTAACCAAAGAAATTTTGTTTGCTTCAAAATATTTACCAATGTTATTACTAATCAGATGTTAAATCGGATTTAACGCATTTTTATTTTGTTTTTATTTATTTTTTCAACATTAAGGTTTTTCTTTACTTTTTGTTTTGGTTTTACGTTGTCCCGTTTTCAGACTTACTGCCTAAAATAAAAAGTCTATTAAACACCTCCAATTGTTTGATTATAACTATAGATCATTTGCGCCTTGTTATTTGTACATCAATTAGAATTCTTCTAAATTTGATAGTCTTTAAGATTTTTAGTTGAGAAGATAAATAAGAAAAACGATTTTTTTGGACCTGCTGGAGGAGTGAAAACAAAAGAGAAAGGAGATCTCTTATAGTCTTTGGCTTGTTTTTTTTTTTCTTTTTTTTTGCTCTATATACAGCATCTTTTGGAGAATTGTTTTTGAAAGCTGCAGAAATAACTTGTACGTCAATATCTGAAAAGAATTTTTTTAATTTCTATACTTCTGGAACGCTACGGACCAGTTCTTTTTGTCTTTTTTGCTCTTCTGGTTTTTCATGCATAACCAGATTTTTGTTAAAGCATATACGGTTTTGATTTCTGTGAAAAAGAAAAAGAATTAAAAATCATCGTCTAAAATTCATTTTTTTCTTAGTTTAATTAAGTAAAAGTATATATTTTTTATAAAAGGGATGGGAATGAAGCGAGGGAGGGGAAGGGGAGAAAAAAAAGAGGTAAAACAAGAGCATGAATGAATTCTGTTAAATTCAACATACTATCTTATAGCTGGCTCGTTGAACGACCTTTGTGTTGCGATAAATGCAAATCCGCTAGGTTCCATCGGTCTCAGCGTGAATCGTGCCGTGGAGAAGCAACTTGGACAGTCAATCTCTGCTATTGAGTTGGAGTTACACAATATGGTTGGTCGGTTACAAGTGGATATTAAAGGTACCTAATACAATATGACTGTGGGATCAGTTATTTATTTTTAGCAAAATTTTTAGCTTATTTTCTAGCATTATTTATATCTTTACAGATATTTATGCTAATATTCCACTTTTGTTACACAAGTGTTTCATTGTCTTTATGCAGTGATACTTTAGCGATTGTTGGTTTTGCCCGGATAACTGCTGGAGATGTTTTCGAAGTGGTGATACGGCATGGTTCTCAGAAATGGAAAGCTCGAGGTAAAACGTTGGCAGATAAAACTCAAAAATGGGACCATTCTTCAGCAATTTTCAATTGTTATGTCGATTGTGCTGTGGAAGTGAAAGTAAGGCTATCGTTTACAGTCAGTCATATGTTGTTAAAAATTTGGAAAGAAAACTTGGAAAGAAATGTTTCAAGCGGCACATCTTACCTTTTTACGTTGAGTCTTTTCGTTGGTAATTGAACTGTTAAGTTGAGAACATTGCTTTTCAGGCATCTGAAGTGCGTTTTTTTATGTCTAAAGCACTTAATGAGCGTTCCTTCGACCCTTGTGAACTGTTTTCTTCACAGTCTCAACTGGTTACTATGGATCTAAACCAGATTGGTACATTGAAATTGGAACTTATCGTTACTTGGATGTATGTTGTATTCGGTTTTTCATTTCGTTTTAAACTATTCTGGATGTTGTGTACTGGAACTATAAATAAAATATAGGTCACGTTGCATTCACAAATTTTGACTGCCTTTTTTGACCCTACAATGATGTCGTATCGTGTGATGAAGCTTTAATTGTCTTAACGGAGTTTACTTATATTAAATTGTAGACCTCTGCTGGCGTCAAAAACTGGAAGGTTAATAGCTAACAATGGGAAGAACAGTAACTTGAAAGAAAATATGGGCATTAACTCTAGTGTTACGTCTAGTGCGCTGTCAAATGTAATTATTATTAATTCAATCTCTTTCACTCATGTTCAATATATTTTTGTTTTCTAATTGTCAATGACTAGTTTTTTTAGAACAAGAAACCGCGAATATTGTTGCGAGAAAAGAAAAGAGGGAACTCCCAGCTTGTTAAACAAAAGGAGATGTGGCGGTCTTCGACAAACATTTTAGACAGTGTGTACAATGATATCAGTAAATCTATCCCAAGTATTGATACGGTCAGTTTCTGCTGTTTATAGCAAATGAAAAGCATAAAAAGGACGTAGTTTTTTTTAATATAAGACGACGTTGTTCAATATGCTATTGGTTGAAACTTTTTTAGGTTGAAGCTATGCCAATTAAGAAAGGAATAAAGAAGGAATTGTCCATTGATAGTAAACCTCTTCGGTCTTGGAATCGCTCATTAAGCATTGCGCAGTTAGCATCCAGTTCTAGCCCTAAATCTGCTGACGATTCTTATCAATCAAATTCAACATCGATGCTTATAGCTGCAATTGATGACATGTTACATCTGATTGTGAAACTGAAACCTTTTATAAATAAACTGATACGAAGATGTCCTGAATTGAGCATTTTGGAAGCGGGTCTAAATGGATGGGAAGCACTGCTGAAAGTACGTTTTTGGGCTAATATTTATTTTTTTGCAGTGTTAGTTTTTTTCAATTTATAATTTTTTCAACGTGTAGAGTCACTCGCTGATCAAAGTGTGGTTTATTTACTATTATTTAGCAAAATCGTGAGTCGTTTAATTTTGCTCTTGAACGGCGCAACGGAAAATCAAATAAAGCGGATGCTAAACGTGCAAGCATCTGTGTTGCTAACTCATCTAGCGGATATTCCGATGAGCTTGACGACAACGTTTTGATGCAGTCGGCAGATCAAGCGTAAGTTACGACAAAATTGGTTTTAAAGTTTTAAAAGTTGGAGTCAATAATAATGGTAACTGTCTAGTTGTTTTCAGTTCCGAAAATGACAGCGGAATTGAGTCATTAAGGCAGCACATATCACCTTTTAACAATATTGGTGCCCGTCATAAGTATGATACAAATCATACAACGAATGATCAAAGTGCCGCCAGTAACCTGGGCACTGGACCTTCGCAACGAAGATTTAAGCAGGTTCGGTGTTGTAAAGCAGTGCAGGCACCAATTATCAAGTTTCTGAGACTTTGTTGATTACGGTGATGTTACAGTTGAAAGAAAAAGAAAGGCGAAAATCAATTGGTGCGTTAGTCGAAACAAGTAATGAATACCAACAAATATTCTTGAATTCTGATGATTTTTGGAACAGTTCCGACACTGAGAGCGCATCAAGTGGAGCGTCGTGTCCACACTCATCATCTAGAATTGCAGCAACAGGACATCGTGAGTTAGACATGTGTTTAAAGCATCATTTGAAGCGATGCTTGCTTACACTTCAGGTAAAGATTAACTTCATTCCTTACTCGTTAGACCTACAATGTACCGTTTTCAATTTTCATTTTGTTTTAGTCATTGACAACTATACACGGACCTCTCGAATATCGTGAGCATGAACTTTTATCACGGATTGAGCAGGAGGCTGTCACTCTGGATGATCTTTTAAGATTGACAAAAACTTTACCTGCTTTCCCAAATATCAGTAACGGTATGAGTTCGTTTAGCAGCATTTTAAAGCCAATTCCAACTACAAAATTTGGTAGATTTTTATATGCTTTTTTTTTT